AAAAATCAAGTTTCTCCAATTTCTCAAACTCTGGATTATGATAGAGGGCCGCGAGACTTTGACCTAGCGCAAAATGGAGGCTCTAGACCCTTCCAGAGCTGAGATATCGAAACTCAAAATTTCGACCGAAAAAAAAAACGACAGTGTGTACCCTTACGTTTTTTTCAGTTTTCGGCGAAAAAATCAAGTTTCTCAATTCTTCAAAACTCTGGATTATGACAGAGGGCCGCGGACTTTGACTGAGCGCAAAAATGGAGGCTCTAGACCCTTCCAGAGCTGAGATATCGAAACTCAAAATTTCGACCCGAAAAAAAAAACGACAGTGTACCCCTAAGTTTTTTTCAGTTTTCGGGCGAAAAATCAAGTTTCCAATCTTCTCAAAACTCTGGATTATGATAGAGGGCGCGAGACTTTGACTGAGCGCAAAAATGGAGGCTCTAGACCCTTCCAGAGCTGAGATATCGAAACTCAAAATTTCGACCCGAAAAAAACGACAGTGTTACCCCTTACGTTTTTTTTCAGTTTTTGGGCGAAAAATCAAGTTTCTCCAATCTTCTCAAAACTCTGGATTATGATAGAGGGCCGCGAGACTTTGACCTGAGCGCAAAAATGGAGGCTCTAGACCCTTCCAGAGCTGAGATATCGAAACTCAAAATTTCGACCCGAAAAAAAAACGACAGTGTTACCCCTTACGTTTTTTTCAGTTTTCGGCGAAAAATCAAGTTTCTCCAATCTTCTCAAAACTCTGGATTATGAAAGGGCCCGAGACTTTGACCTGAGCAAAAATGGAGGCTCTAGACCCTTCAGAGCTGAGATATCGAAACTCAAAATTTCGACCCGAAAAAAAAACGACAGTGTTACCCTTTCGTTTTTTTTTTTCAGTTTTCGGGCGAAAAATCAAGTTTCTCCAATCTTCTCAAAACTCTGGATTATGATAGAGGGCGGAGACTTTGACCTGAGCGCAAAAATGGAGGCTCTAGACCCTTCCAGAGCTGAGATATCGAAATCAAAATTTCGACCCGAAAAAAAAACGACAGTGTTACCCCTTACGTTTTTTTCAGTTTTTGGGCGAAAATCAAGTTTCTCCAATCTTCTCAAAACTCTGGATTATGATAGAGGGCCGCGAGACTTTGACCTGAGCGCAAAAATGGAGGCTCTAGACCCTTCCAGAGCTGAGATATCGAACTCAAAATTTCGACCCGAAAAAAAAAACGACAGTGTTACCCCTTAACGTTTTTTTCAGTTTCGGGCGAAAAATCAAGTTTCTCCAATCTTCTCAAAACTCTGGATTATGATAGAGGGCCGCGAGACTTTGACCTGAGCGCAAAAATGGAGGCTCTAGACCCTTCCAGAGCTGAGATATCGAATCAAAAATTTCGACCCGAAAAAAAAACGACAGTGTTACCCCTTTCGTTTTTTTTTCATTTTCGGGCGAAAAATCAAGTTTCTCCAATCTTCTCAAACTCTGGATTATGATAGAGGGCCGCGAGACTTTGACCTGAGCGCAAAAATGGAGGCTCTAGACCCTTCCAGAGCTGAGATATCGAAACTCAAATTTCGACCCGAAAAAAAAAACGACAGTGTTACCCCTTACGTTTTTTTCAGTTTTCGGGCGAAAAATCAAGTTTCTCCAATCTTCTCAAAACTCTGGATTATGATAAGAGGGCGCGAGACTTTGACCTGAGTGCAAAATGGAGTCTAGACCCTTCAGAGCTGAGATATCGAAACTCAAAATTTCGACCCGAAAAAAAAACGACAGTGTTACCTTACGTTTTTTTTCAGTTTTCGGCGAAAAATCAAGTTTCTCCAATCTTCTCAAAACTCTGGATTATGATAGAGGGCGGAGACTTTGACCTGAGCGCAAAAATGGAGGCTCTAGACCCTTCCAGAGCTGAGATATCGAAACTCAAAATTTCGACCCGAAAAAAAAACGACAGTGTTACCCTTACGTTTTTTTTCAGTTTCGGGCGAAAAATCAAGTTTTCTCCAATCTTCTCAAAACTCTGGATTATGATAGAGGGCCGCGAGACTTTGACCTGAGCGCAAAAATGGAGGCTCTAGACCCTTCCAGAGCTGAGATATCGAAACTCAAAATTTCGACCCGAAAAAAAAAACGACAGTGTTACCCCTTACTTTTTTTCAGTTTTTGGGCGAAAAATCAAGTTTCTCCAATCTTCTCAAAACTCTGGATTATGATAGAGGGCCGCGAGACTTTGACCTGAGCGCAAAAATGGAGGCTAGACCCTTCCAGAGCTGAGATATCGAAACTCAAAATTTCGACCCGAAAAAAAAACGACAGTGTTACCCCTTACGTTTTTTTTCAGTTTTCGGGCGAAAAATCAAGTTTCTCCAATCTTCTCAAAACTCTGGATTATGATAGAGGGCCGCGAGACTTTGACCTGAGCGCAAAAATGGAGGCTCTAGACCCTTCCAGAGCTGAGATATCGAAACTCAAAATTTCGACCCGGAAAAAAAAACGACAGTGTTACCCCTTACGTTTTTTTCAGTTTTCGGGCGAAAAATCAAGTTTCTCCAATCTTCTCAAAACTCTGGATTATGATAGAGGGCCGCGAGACTTTGACCTGAGCGCAAAAATGGAGGCTCTAGACCCTTCCAGAGCTGAGATATCGAAACTCAAAATTTCGACCCGAAAAAAAAACGACAGTGTTACCCCTTACGTTTTTTTCAGTTTTCGGGCGAAAAATCAAGTTTCTCCAATCTTCTCAAAACTCTGGATTATGATAGAGGCCGCGAGACTTTGACCTGAGCGCAAAAATGGAGGCTCTAGACCCTTCCAGAGCTGAGATATCGAAACTCAAAATTTCGACCCGAAAAAAAAACGACAGTGTTACCCCTTACGTTTTTTTCAGTTTTCGGGCGAAAAATCAAGTTTCTCCAATCTTCTCAAAACTCTGGATTATGATAGAGGGCCGCGAGACTTTGACCTGAGCGCAAAAATGGAGGCTCTAGACCCTTCCAGAGCTGAGATATCGAAACTCAAAATTTCGACCCGAAAAAAAAACGACAGTGTTACCCCTTTCGTTTTTTTTTTCAGTTTTCGGGCGAAAAATCAAGTTTCTCCAATCTTCTCAAAACTCTGGATTATGACAGAGGGCCGCGAGACTTTGACCTGAGCGCAAAAATGGAGGCTCTAGACCCTTCCAGAGCTGAGATATCGAAACTCAAAATTTCGACCCGAAAAAAAAAACGACAGTGTTACCCCTTACGTTTTTTTCAGTTTTCGGGCGAAAAATCAAGTTTCTCCCATCTTCTCAAAACTCTGGATTATGACAGAGGGCCGCGAGACTATGACCTGAGCGCAAAAATGGAGGCTCTAGACCCTTCCAGAGCTGAGATATCGAAACTCAAAATTTCGACCCGAAAAAAAAACGACAGTGTTACCCCTTACGTTTTTTTCAGTTTTCGGGCGAAAAATCAAGTTTCTCCAATCTTCTCAAAACTCTGGATTATGATAGAGGGCCGCGAGACTTTGACCTGAGCGCAAAAATGGAGGCTCTAGACCCTTCCAGAGCTGAGATATCGAAACTCAAAATTTCGACCCGAAAAAAAAAACGACAGTGTTACCCCTTACGTTTTTTTCAGTTTTCGGGCGAAAAATCAAGTTTCTCCAATCTTCTCAAAACTCTGGATTATGATAGAGGGCCGCGAGACTTTGACCTGAGCGCAAAAATGGAGGCTCTAGACCCTTCCAGAGCTGAGATATCGAAACTCAAAATTTCGACCCGAAAAAAAACGACAGTGTTACCCCTTACGTTTTTTTCAGTTTTTGGGCGAAAAATCAAGTTTCTCCAATCTTCTCAAAACTCTGGATTATGATAGAGGGCCGCGAGACTTTGACCTGAGCGCAAAAATGGAGGCTCTAGACCCTTCCAGAGCTGAGATATCGAAACTCAAAATTTCGACCCGAAAAAAAAAACGACAGTGTTACCCCTTACGTTTTTTTCAGTTTTCGGGCGAAAAATCAAGTTTCTCCAATCTTCTCAAAACTCTGGATTATGATAGAGGGCCGCGAGACTTTGACCTGAGCGCAAAAATGGAGGCTCTAGACCCTTCCAGAGCTGAGATATCGAAACTCAAAATTTCGACCCGAAAAAAAAACGACAGTGTTACCCCTTACGTTTTTTTCAGTTTTTGGGCGAAAAATCAAGTTTCTCCAATCTTCTCAAAACTCTGGATTATGATAGAGGGCCGCGAGACTTTGACCTGAGCGCAAAAATGGAGGCTCTAGACCCTTCCAGAGCTGAGATATCGAAACTCAAAATTTCGACCCGAAAAAAAAACGACAGTGTTACCCCTTACGTTTTTTTCAGTTTTCGGGCGAAAAATCAAGTTTCTCCAATCTTCTCAAAACTCTGGATTATGATAGAGGGCCGCGAGACTTTGACCTGAGCGCAAAAATGGAGGCTCTAGACCCTTCCAGAGCTGAGATATCGAAACTCAAAATTTCGACCCGAAAAAAAAAACGACAGTGTTACCCCTTACGTTTTTTTCAGTTTTCGGGCGAAAAATCAAGTTTCTCCCATCTTCTCAAAACTCTGGATTATGATAGAGGGCCGCGAGACTTTGACCTGAGCGCAAAAATGGAGGCTCTAGACCCTTCCAGAGCTGAGATATCGAAACTCAAAATTTCGACCCGAAAAAAAAAACGACAGTGTTACCCCTTACGTTTTTTTCAGTTTTCGGGCGAAAAATCAAGTTTCTCCAATCTTCTCAAAACTCTGGATTATGATAGAGGGCCGCGAGACTTTGACCTGAGCGCAAAAATGGAGGCTCTAGACCCTTCCAGAGCTGAGATATCGAAACTCAAAATTTCGACCCGAAAAAAAAAACGACAGTGTTACCCCTTACGTTTTTTTCAGTTTTCGGGCGAAAAATCAAGTTTCTCCAATCTTCTCAAAACTCTGGATTATGATAGAGGGCCGCGAGACTTTGACCTGAGCGCAAAAATGGAGGCTCTAGACCCTTCCAGAGCTGAGATATCGAAACTCAAAATTTCGACCCGAAAAAAAAAAACGACAGTGTTACCCCTTACGTTTTTTTCAGTTTTCGGGCGAAAAATCAAGTTTCTCCAATCTCTCAAAACTCTGGATTATGATAGAGGGCCGCGAGACTTTGACCTGAGCGCAAAAATGGAGGCTCTAGACCCTTCCAGAGCTGAGATATCGAAACTCAAAATTTCGACCCGAAAAAAAAACGACAGTGTTACCCCTTACGTTTTTTTCAGTTTTCGGGCGAAAAATCAAGTTTCTCCAATCTTCTCAAAACTCTGGATTATGATAGAGGGCCGCGAGACTTTGACCTGAGCGCAAAAATGGAGGCTCTAGACCCTTCCAGAGCTGAGATATCGAAACTCAAAATTTCGACCCGAAAAAAAAACGACAGTGTTACCCCTTACGTTTTTTTTCAGTTTTCGGGCGAAAAATCAAGTTTCTCCAATCTTCTCAAAACTCTGGATTATGATAGAGGGCCGCGAGACTTTGACCTGAGCGCAAAAATGGAGGCTCTAGACCCTTCCAGAGCTGAGATATCGAAACTCAAAATTTCGACCCGAAAAAAAAAACGACAGTGTTACCCCTTACGTTTTTTTCAGTTTTCGGGCGAAAAATCAAGTTTCTCCAATCTTCTCAAAACTCTGGATTATGACAGAGGGCCGCGAGACTTTGACCTGAGCGCAAAAATGGAGGCTCTAGACCCTTCCAGAGCTGAGATATCGAAACTCAAAATTTCGACCCGAAAAAAAAACGACAGTGTTACCCCTTTCGTTTTTTTTCAGTTTTCGGGCGAAAAATCAAGTTTCTCCAATCTTCTCAAAACTCTGGATTATGATAGAGGGCCGCGAGACTTTGACCTGAGCGCAAAAATGGAGGCTCTAGACCCTTCCAGAGCTGAGATATCGAAACTCAAAATTTCGACCCGAAAAAAAAAACGACAGTGTTACCCCTTACGTTTTTTTTCAGTTTTCGGGCGAAAAATCAAGTTTCTCCCATCTTCTCAAAACTCTGGATTATGACAGAGGGCCGCGAGACTATGACCTGAGCGCAAAAATGGAGGCTCTAGACCCTTCCAGAGCTGAGATATCGAAACTCAAAATTTCGACCCGAAAAAAAACGACAGTGTTACCCCTTACGTTTTTTTCAGTTTTCGGGCGAAAAATCAAGTTTCTCCAATCTTCTCAAAACTCTGGATTATGATAGAGGGCCGCGAGACTTTGACCTGAGCGCAAAAATGGAGGCTCTAGACCCTTCCAGAGCTGAGATATCGAAACTCAAAATTTCGACCCGAAAAAAAAACGACAGTGTTACCCCTTTCGTTTTTTTTCAGTTTTCGGGCGAAAAATCAAGTTTCTCCAATCTTCTCAAAACTCTGGATTATGACAGAGGGCCGCGAGACTTTGACCTGAGCGCAAAAATGGAGGCTCTAGACCCTTCCAGAGCTGAGATATCGAAACTCAAAATTTCGACCCGAAAAAAAAACGACAGTGTTACCCCTTACGTTTTTTCAGTTTTCGGGCGAAAAATCAAGTTTCTCCAATCTTCTCAAAACTCTGGATTATGATAGAGGGCCGCGAGACTTTGACCTGAGTGCAAAAATGGAGGCTCTAGACCCTTCCAGAGCTGAGATATCGAAACTCAAAATTTCGACCCGAAAAAAAAAACGACAGTGTTACCCCTTACGTTTTTTTTTTTTTGTGTGCGAAAAAATAAGTTTCTACAATCTTATTGAAACTCTGGATTCTGATAGAGGGCCATGGGACTTAGACCTGAATGCAAAAATGGAGGCTCTAGACTCTTCCAGAGCTGAGATATTGAGATCCCATGTAACATTTAGCCATTATAAATATCTCAAAATCTCAGCTCTGGAAGGGTCTAGAGCCTCCATTTTTGCACTCAGGTCTAAGTCCCTTGGCCCTCTATCAGAATCCAGATTTTCAAGAAGATTGGAGAAACTTATTTTTTCGGACAAAAAAAACAAACAAAAAGCGACAGGGGTAAACACTGTCGGTTTTTTTTTGGGTCGAAATTTTGAGTTTCTCTGATCTTCTTGAAACTCTGGATTCTGAAAGAGGGCCATGGGACTTAGACGTGAGTGCAAAAATGGAGGCTCTAGACCCTTCCAGAGCTGAAATATTGTGATATTTATAATGGCATAAATGCGACATGGGATCTCAATATCTCAGCTCTGGAAGGGTCTAGAGCCTCCGTTTTTGCACTCAGGTCTAAGTCCCATGGCCCTCTATCAGAATCCAGAGTTTCAAGAAGATCAGAGAAACTCAGATTTTCGACCCCCCCCCCCCCCCAAAAAAAAAAAACACGACAGTGTTACCCCTGTCTTATTTTTTTTTTTTTTTTGGGTGCGAAAAAATAAGTTTCTCCAATCTTCTTGAAACTCTGGATTCTGATAGAGGGCCATGAGACTTAAACCTGAGTGCAAAAATGGAGGCTCTAGACCCTTCCAGAGCTGAGATATTGAGATCCTATGTTACATTTAGCCATTATAAATATCTCAATATCTCAGCTCTGGAAGGGTCTAGAGCCTCCATTTTTGCACTCAGGTCTAAGTCTCATGGCCCTCTATCCGAATCCAGAGTTTCAAGAAGATTGGAGAAACTTGTTTTTTTGCACTGTCGTTTTTTTTTTTGGGTCGAAATTTTGAGTTTCTCTGATCTTCTTGAAACTCTGGATTCTGATAGAGGGCCATGGGACTTAGACCTGAGTGCAAAAATGGAGGCTCTAGACCCTTCCAGAGCTGAGATATTAATATATTTATAATGGCATAAATGCTACGTGGGATCTCAATATCTCAGGTCTGAGTCCCATGGCCCTCTATCAGAAACCAGAGTTTCAAGAAGATCAGAGAAACTTTTTTTTGCACCGAAAAAGTCGACAGGGGTACCCCTGTCGTTTTTTCGTGTTAAAATTTTGAGTTTCTCTGATCTTCTTGAAACTCTGGATTCTGATAGAGGGCATAACATAATGTAATGTTATAATGTTTAAGTTTTTGTTCTAAAAAAATAAAGATGCACAAAGAAAATGACTCTTATATGACCAGATTGACTGATTCGAATATATTTAGTTTGTTACAAACAAGGTGAAATATGTAAAACAAAAAAACTCAAAATTATAGTGGAAATGGTGTACTGCTGGAATTTTCTTGACCTTGAGAAAAAGCTTAAAGTATAGACCAGCAAATTTTATGTTTATTAATTTATTTCATGTTGGTACATTTTTGGGAAGTACACCTGTTTTGACCTGATGTCCATTGGAATGGACAAAAAAAAAATCACAATGAAAGCAATTATATAAAAAAAAATTCATTTGTTTTCATTTATAGAAACCTCATGAGCTGGGAAAATGTACTTTTATATTTTTCAGAAACTTGAAACATAATTCAGGTCTGAGGGGGTTAAAAGCAATTTATACAATGACAAAAACACTGTTCCTTCAGTTCACATATTGTCCATTTTGTAAGTTGTGCGTTGGATGATGCGGTTTTAAGGCCTCATCTTACTCATCCGTTTGCAAGAGAAACAAGCTTTTAAACAGTACTCATTCCATGTATGTTAGTCGCTCCCAAAACACTAGCAATCATGACATTTAAATCCAGTGAAGTATAATAAAAAAAGACAATAAAAATCATCTGGTCTCCATGTAAAGGTTTGTGTGAACGTTAAAGCCTGGTCAGGATTTTAAAGCTCTCCTAATACCTCTTCTGTCCATATTATTAACGGAAGTCATACTATCAGTTTCAGTCATCACGGATAACTAGTGAGCATTGGAGTATTAAACGGACAGTTCACCTAAATATGAACATTCAGATATACTCACACCTCATGTCATTTTAAACCTGAATGACTTTCTTGAGTACTAATATCTCTCTCAATACATAAACAGTGAATGTTGTCCTTTTGAGTCCCAAGAAATAAAATTCATGCAGGTTTGGAAAAAGACAAGATTAAGTCATTTTTAAATTGAAGGCACTGAGCCTTGATGGTTTGAACTGGTTTCAGCCAGTGGATGTTTTTTGTTTAAAGAAGATTGAGAAATATGGATATTTTCAGCTGAGGTAACTAAGGGTTGCTGAAATGTGCACATCTCAAACTGCATCACTTTGCATTCCTGAGATTAACATTGACCTTATTAATGAAATCAATATTAATGAACTGCATCTGCCATTTTCAACCAAATAATGTAGTAAAAAATAAAGTACAATGGAAAGAAATCAGAAATGGAAAGGTTTTTTGTTAAACAGCATCTTATTAAAGTGACAAAATAATACAATTTTATTTTTTTAAATTAAAATATGTACATAAATGTTAGATGCACATCAAACTGATGGCCAAACATCATGGTTCATATCTGCCATGTTGCTTACAGATACATATCCATCATACCCACAGTAAATTCTTTGTTCTTGTTTTACATGTATTTTCTCCAAACAATGAGGTTGTTAGAACAGAACGAATGTTATTCAATATAATAGCACAGAGCTGATTAGTTAAGTGGTCATCATTGGAGCTGGCTGGGACGCTGGCTGAGACCCACAATTCCAGTCATCTTCAAAACCATTAGCATAACCATCGATATTTGCAAATGGCTGGTGTACAAATCACAGATGTATTCCCACCTCCATCTGAAAAATAAATAAAAATGCAGTTTATTCCTGTGATGACCGCTGCATTTTCAGCATATATTTTTGGGGAACCATGATTTTTTTTTCAGGATTCTTTCATGCATGTAAAGGTATTGAGGTATCGATTTCTTAAGAAAATATTACTGACCCCAAACTTTTGGACAATAGTGTGCATGAAAACCTACATAATGCTACAAGTAAATAAATAATTTAAATAAGATGCACAATTTAAAGTATCATTCATGTCAGTAGCACAGGTTAACTTAGTATAAGTAGTAATAGTAATGTTTACTTTGAAAAACAGAACTATTATTAAAAAAAACATTTAGCTGTTTTAAGCGTAATGTCCTTGAATAAACACTAGAGGGCAGAGTGAGAACGGAAACGATCAAACACAGACAAACCTGCTTATTGGACTTCAAACCATATTACATTTAAGTCTAATGTAAAGTCTAATAACTTTATATTTTTAGATAGAAGTTTTTGTATTATAAGTGACTAGAACTTTTGAAAGTTTCTCCAGAAGTGTGACAAGAAGTTTCTCCAGAAGTGTGACAATCACTGACCATGAGAAATTCAAAACAGATTGTAGAGGAATTCTTCCTGGAAAGTGACACTGAACTTTTCTGAAGTGATTTCGAAATAAAATCTCTGTGGAAATGGATTTCAACATGACCAAGAATACTAAAGTGACCCCTCAAAGTATTTAGTCAGACTTTGAAATGTCATTCAACAACAAAATACCAACCAATACCAGATATCCAGTCAAAGAAAAGCACAGCGTTCAACTTTTAAATGATAAACACTTGATAGGACAAAAGGTATTTGGACGTTTTTTGGTTCATGAACTACTTTCAAGGACACCTGGCCCTTTAAGGCCCATTCACACCAAGAACAATAACCAAAAAAATGATACCATATTGCTATATAATTAAAAAAAGGATCAAATTAGCATAAATGTTTAGGAACACAACTCTGCTGTGCTTTCTGTATGCTAGGAAAGACCTACAATGTTTCATATTTACCTAATTTTGTTAATACCAGAGGCTCAAAGGGGAAAAAAACTTAAATCCTGACATTTAGAAAGTGAGATAGAGCATGTTTGCAATCAAATTGAGGAACGATCAGGAATGGTACAGCACGCAGGAAAAACAGCCGTAACGGCCTCCAGATGTTGGCGACGGAGGGCTCACGGAGGTCAATGCCAGTGCAGCTGAAGTCTGCTGAGCAGCCCGAGCCTGACAGCGCTGGAACGACCAGAATCATGCTGTGGTCTGGCCATGCTAGCTCCACGCTGGGCTGTGTGACGAGGATTTGGGTTGAAGGAACCACTGGAGTGACAATGTACATTCTTAAGAACCCACTGTCTGGCAGGCCAAGGTTTTGTATATCCATCTTCGGGGAAAGTCTGACTATATTGAGCGCAAGAGAGCCAAGTCATTTGTTTGGAAGCGGAATAAAATGCTGAATGCTGTTTTTGTTTGCTTAAGGCAACTACTTCCATAGCATTTCATGCGAATGGCTCATTTTTGCTTTAACATAATGAAATGCACACAATACCTGATACCACCAACCCATCCCTGCTGGAAAACTGGCTTGAGATGGAAGATGAATTACCATTTGCAACCCATTTTACCTCAGTATTATCATATATTTGCAAATAAAACAGGATTTTAGGATTTTAAAACTCATTTTAGATCAGAATGGTGCCAAACAGAATTTGAGTTTTCTAAAAATGTATAACACTATAATTAGGTTTTATTTGTTAACATTAGGTAACGAATAAAGTTTTTGATCCGCACTCAAATTTTAAAAACCTTTATTTCACATGGGAATAATACAACAGATGGTTCGACTCCCAGGCCTTCTTCACTGTGTTGAATGCTCTGATTGATGTCATCTAGATTGGAAAACGTTAAAAATCACTCACTTAATCTTCAACAGCAATTATCCTCATATGATCTTGTTAAACGCACACACCAATAATTTTCATGATGCACAAGACTATTTTACACTAAGCGCAATAATCAAACCAATTAACCAACTTAAAAATCCTATACGTGAATTCAGGTAGCCACATCAAATACATAGCAGTGAATTACCCAATGATTGAAGTCATCAGAAATACATCGTCATTATTACAATTAGAATATTTCATTTATCATAACATTTGTACAAATCATTCATTCATGCTGTTAGGAGCCCAGTGATTTCAATGAATAAATCCAAAATGCTTCTCGCTTTATTAATATAATCTCCTCTACTGTACATGATCCTATTCATTCCTCTATCCCAATACATTCCAATCGTTTGATAATGAAGTTTTTGGATCACATAGATGTGGTGATGTATGCATTTCTGATGACTTCAATCATTAGGTATTTCACTGCTATGTATTTGATGTGGTTACCCCGATTGATGTTTAAGGATTTTTAAGTTGTCTAATTGGTTTGATTATTGTGCTTAGAGTAAAATTGTCTTGTGTTTCATAAATTATTGGTGTGTGCATTTAATCATATTATGCGAGGATAATTGCTGTTGAACATTCAAAATTCAATGAAGTGAGTGATTTTTAACATGGACCCATTTTGATGACATCAATATGACTGTTTAAATAGTGGGTGGTGGCATCAGAGCATCCAACACACTGAAGATGGCAGGAGTCGAAACATCTGTTTTATTCTTCCCATGTGAAAAATGTGAAACAAAGTGACAAAGGTGATTTTGACTGCAGATCACAACTGTATTCTTGAAGTAATTAAATAGATTTACTCACCAAAACTGGATTAATTTTAACATTTAATAATGTATTTTTTAAACCAAAAGTTGCACCTGTTAACATTAACGCAGAAAGATAACATGAGCAATAAACAATTGTTTTTATTTTTCACTTACTAAAAAAAGATGCTTTAAAAATAAAAGTTATTAGGTGTTTGGTTCAAACAATTCCATAACATTTGCGAAGAAACAAATGGTGACCTTTTCTTCCATCCATATTGTGATGTGCATCTGAAAGTAACAGACTTTTGAAAACTTGGTTCTATGTTGATTATATATTGAGATTTGGGCGTTGCACTCAGAAATTATGAACAGGACGGGGTTTAATTAGATTAAATTATGAATAATTTAACGAGTCCTGAATACAGCACAAGAGAGAAGTCACCGGAAGGTCCAGTTATGATTTTGTGATTAAACATTACGAAAATGTTTTTTTTTTTTTGGGGAATAACAGCCCCCAATAAATTGTTCACAATGGCCCTCATTTATCATTCTTAAGTAGAAATGGATGTGTATGTTGGCGTAAGATTATGCTTACACTCCTCTCACCGCCTGATTTATGAAGCTGTGCGTACCTTTGAAATCCAGGTGAATGCAATACCCGCCCTTGATAAATGCTGCGGCTGAAAAAGATAGTCCTTAGAATAACACGCCCCTATATATTCAAGTCTCCGCTTCCCCCATGCCCTCATTTTACGCCATGGACACACGGAAGACGGCAAAGAGGAGAAACTTCTCCGTTTTGACACAATTAGCATTCAATTTCGTATCATGTCACATGTGTACAACATTGGGGTGTACAATAGTGATGATGATGATGTGATGTGGAGTACCATTCATTCACATTAACAATTGCATGACAATTTGTAATATTCTTCTTCTTATTATTAGGATTTTTATTATTAATGACGCTTATTGTTATATAGAAAAATAATGTTGTTGTTATTATTATTATTATTTTGTATTATTAATAATTAAAAGAAGATGTATATGCCTACAAATCAAACGCTTTGGTAAAGTCACACGAATTAAACATTGAAGTCCATGTTGCACAAAAATAAACACTGAAGTTTATTATTACTACACTGTTGTTATTTCTTTACAATGGGTCATAATATATCATATCTTTGTCTGTGCGTTTTGTGGTTTTAGGAATTGTTTTTCTGTGCATTTCCGCACTAACTCAAAACTTACGAACACCTCCTGAGCACGCCGTACGCCAACGTCCATATTGATAAATCTCAAAGTCACCGTGGTTTTGGGTGTACGCTGGAAATTTGGTGTACGAACCTTTGATAAATGAGGGCCAATGAGACGAGGAACACGTATTAAGATAGTAAATAGGGTTCATTCTGACTTTAAAGTGGTCAAGATGGTTTTTGGAACATGGTCACTGCTAGACCAGTTAATAACCAGCCTGGTTCAACTAATAACCTGCTTGGACCGGATAATAACCAGCTTGGCTTGGCTAATAACCGGCTTCCATGTACCAAACCGCAGCTACCATCTTAAGATGGATTTTCCAGAAGGAATTACTCATGTCTGAAACACTTTAATATGCCTGACCTTCTACAGCAAAGGATGAAAAGGTACAATAGCAACAAACCTGTCATAGTGAGATATCGATCGCCTCAGGCCTGTTGAACTCAGAAGAAGTTCTTGATGAGTGGAGTAACAAGTTTCACCCACAACTTTACATGGCGGTCCGGCTGATTAAAGGTGGAGTTTGACACTTGTGTCGAGCTCTGGTATAACAACTCCTGCTCCTGGACAAGACAGAAACAATAAAAAAATAATTAACTCACTATCTGAAGTGTTATGTCATCTCAGTGCTTTTCTCGTAAAGACAACTATATAACTGACTTTAACTGATCCCTTACAACCGGATAAGTGAAGATTACAGGAAACTTAGTTTACAGTCTATAAAAACTGATAACACTCCCAATTAAGCAGTTACTATTATAGCCCCAGATCCCAATAGAGATTAATGGTTCCTTTAAATGCAATTTTGTTTGAGATTAGAAAGATAATATGACTGCATCGTTCTCTGGTACAAAAAAAGATGTAGTTTTACAGAAAATCACAGCCAATACTGAATTATTTCTGAAATATGGTGCTTATCAGAGAATGTAGACCAATTTATGTTGCTTTATGATTTCTATATGATTTTTTATAAAATGTTTCCAGTAAACCCTTACAAAAATGATGAGCCAAAGATATCATAGATAGTACCAACACAAGATTTATGGGTTAAATGACCCCAGTACCCTAAGAAACAGTGCCATAGAGGAAGCCCAACCTGTTGCAGTTGCATCTGGAGTTCCTCATTCTCTGTTACTATGGCGATCTGGGCCTCAAGATCCCTGTGCACAGAGCGATAGCCGAAATTTGGGGAGCCAATAAGAGTGAGGCAGGGGTGGTCTCTTCCTCCCACATAGTACCACAGACCTGTGAAGAGTGGAAAAAGACCATAAATTTAATTTACCAGACCAGTAATGATAAATGCTTTATATAATGTTTCATTTTACTAAACAATTGTTTACAATGACTCACTCTACCGCTAAAAATATTGTAAGTGCCCTCATTTTCACAATTATGCATTTGTTTTTACAGTGTTTTTTTTTTTTTGTATTTGTTTCCCATCACATGAGCTTAAAAAGCATATTGCATTTCCATAGCCAACAATGCACAACTCATCTAAAAGGGAAAAAAAAAAAAAGTTGTTAAGCTATGTACTGTACAAAAAACTTGTGTTCTATTAATAGGCAGCAGGTTTTGATTGCCGCTTTAAACACCTGCCAATGAATGGAAGTTGAATATCAGGTAACACAACTGCCGGGAATACTATACAATTCATTCCTGGTGACTTCCTTATGGACACATGCAACAGCAATTAGCCTTTATGTGCGGATATACTATGTCCTAGACCTAGGCTATGTTCTAACCCTAATTCAATTTAATTGCAAACTAATACAAGCAAACACAATGCAAAACAGATTTTTCATCATTACATCATGGCACTGAGTATTTCAATTATAAACCAATTGTTCGAGGTTTTTTTAAAAACAAAAACAAAGAAATATATACTTTTATTCAGATACAACTTGATACTGTTACAAAATTTCCTTTCTATTTATCAAAAGACTTAAGCAGCACAACTGTTGATAATATCAATGTTGCAACACAACTGTTGCAACATTGATAATATTCAACTACAGTATCATACATTAATCTCTGAGGGATCATGTGACACTGAAGACTGGAGTAATGATGCTAAAAATTCAGCTTTGCCTTTACATGAATAAACTACGTTTTAAAATCTATTAAACTAAAATCTAATATTTAAAACTGTTATAATACTTCACAGTTGAACATTACCAAATTTGATCAAATGCAGCCTTGGTAAGCATACGAGAATTTGTTTTGGTCAACACATCAAACTAATACTAACTCCAAACTTTGGTACTTTGAACATTTTACTTGGATGGAGATAATCCCAGGCTCTGACTCTGCTAATGGATAATATTGGAAAAATTGGTTCTACCAATCATTTTAAATGCACTAAAAACACTAAATTTGATTCTAACATAAGTTCTGAAAAAATACACTTATTTATTGACTTGGTAATTGTTATTAAATGTATGGTGTTGATGACTTTCTTTACTGGGTATGCATTGATAACCGTCCTTTTCACGTACGAAGTTCTTAAAAGAAGTTCCTAAAGTTCTATGAACGTTGAATTTGAATCAAGTTCAACATTTCTTTTTTTGCCACATGACCCAACTAGAAGTAAACATCCTACTTGCTAGTTGCAACCACTTTTAAATGACTGCCAAAGTGGCAATGGAAAAACAGGCTTTTTGAAGACAGAATTGTGTAGTTACGGCATGACGCGCAGTTATGAAACTGTTGGTTTAACAGAGTCCACCTGACTGTCTCTTTCCTGAGGTGCGCGGCCAGAATCAGAATGGCAGCTAATGTTCATTGATTCTCTTTGTAGCTCAGCTGGAGGGACCTCTGCACCCTTCTGTTCCCACTTCAGCTCCACTGTTTACAAGAAATGACGGCATGACAAGGCTTTATCTAATAAGCCAGACTTCTCAACAGGAGCATGAAATTGAATTCCACTGACGCTGCTCAGGTTTGTCACGCATCTATTTTTCCCCAGACGGCACCATTTTATTCTGTCCCTTCAGGTCAGGGGCCTTTATTAAAGTGTATGAGGAGACTCAGTTAATGCCGTATGAATAATCACATCATGCATTTTTAAACCAAACCAATAACTACTCCAAGTTACAAACACAACAGCAGGTTGAAAAATAACATTGCGGCGATTCAGTTGCTTTTGGCATGACTTGATTCGTCTTAAAAACACGCTGAAACCGTAAATAGCTGAAATAGCTTGGCATTCAACTGCCAAGAAAACGTGGCCAAAGCGTACGTCTGCTTTACAGAGAAAACATCACATGAGTTTGGCAGCCTCTGTGTCCTGAAGCTGTCCAGGAAGAACTCTGAGGCTATTCAATCAGAGGTGCTGGGAAACCTGCTCTGCACATTAAATTATGAGCTTTCCTGTTACACCCAAGTTTTGGGAACTGGGCTGATCCACTTCAGTTCTGAGAAGAAAAAAAAAGTTCAGAAAATAAACACCTACCTTTAGCATGAAATGTCCAATCGGGGCGGTGGTATTCATGCAAGTGGACACGGCTCTGCTGACCCAGCTGGCACACCTGAAATGGACAGAATGCTGAATGTTTCACTTTTAAAACCAACAATAAAAAAAAAATAATAATAAAATTAGCAAAAAAGCACCACTCAAACCCTGCAAATTGGGTGCAATTTGTAGCTGCAGCACATCTATAGAACAAGCAACAATAATAAACTGAAAAATTAGGGGTGCAAAACTGAAAAAAAATCTGCATAACCATGTTGAATAACTTTATATCAGTTTGTATGCATTAACTGTGATCAAAAGTAACAGAAAGACATTTATAATTTTTTTTTAAATAAATGCTGAGAAAATAAATGCAAAGAATCATGAAAAAAATGGTCCCACTATATATTAAGTGGCTTTAAGTACTATGTACTTACATTGAAACGAATAATTTGATACAATGGACTTATTGTGTACATACATGATTTACATTGTACTTATATTTAAAAAAAAAAATATCAGCATGTAATTACAGCTGAAACTAATTTATGTAATTACATCTGTAATTACACAGCTGACCCATCCCTTATACTTAAACCTACCCATACCACCACACCTGTCCCTAACCTTACCCATATCACACCTCAATAGCAGCAAAAGTGTTTTACAATACAACATGAGCACAATAAGTACTCTGTACTTATTTTTCAATGTAAGTACATAGTACTTAAAGCCACTTATAAAGTGGGACCAAATTTTTTTTTTAGAAAAATATTAAGCAGCATGACTGTTTTCAACATTGCTAATAATAATAAAAAACATTCTTGAGCAAATAAGCATATTAGAATGATTTCTGAAGGATCATGTCACATTAATGATGGTGAAAATTCAGCTTTGCCATCAAAGGAATAAATTAATTTTTAAATTTCTTTAAAACAGAATGCAGTTATTTTAAATTGTAATAATATTACAATATCACCATTTTTGATCAAATAAATCCAGCTTAATTTAGCCTATACGTGACAGAAAGTTCACAATTCATTTGAACTCTACACTAATGCACCAATTTGTGATGCTGCTGCTTGGCACCATAAACAACCTATAGTACCATGATGGTATCCTGTCCACAATGGACGTGGGCAGCATGACTCATGACAAAACTAAATTGCTCCTTAAATAAAAGACAGAGCTGTCTACACTGAAGCGTTTATCTCTACCGACACAGGTAAATACACGTCATGCTGCCCAGCCCTATGGCAAACTAAAGAAATGCACACCTTATTGTAAAACTGTCGGGCGAGATGAACGTAGGCCTCAGGAATTGCTCCTGCTACTCCTTTGGCTCCGAAAAAGCCATTAACCTCGGGGGAGGCCATGAGGATTCGGTAGTCTCCGGCTGCACCCAGCACCAGCTGCATGTATGTGCGCGTCAGGTTGAAGTAACCCGATGTCAGGTAGATGACAGAGTCTCCACCAGCCTCTATGAGCAGTTGTTTGGTTATTTGTTCATCCAAGTAAATGCCCAGAGGCTTCATTTGCATGAGTGGAAAGATCCATGTGTCATTTGGCAGCATCCCTTCTGAATCATGACCCTCTGGGCATTCAGTCTCCAGCATGCTCTGTCGGACACGGGCCGTAGTCACCACCTCCATGATCCGTTTCTGTGCTGATGCAGAAAAATCTGCTCTGTTACCTGTAAAAGCACAAGACAGACTTCTTCTGAGAACACTCAAATCGGCTGAAACGCTTATAAATACTGGATACATTCAGGCTGAATTCCAAAACCTATATAAGCAGCATTTTAAGCACAAGGACACTATAAAACATTGGTTATGGAAAAATTATAAATGTCACATCACTTCGATCCCATAATGCACTTTGGTGAGATCAAAACGGCACGATGAAAAAAAGTTGATAACCATATTTCCTTCACTACTCACAAATAAAACAGATTGACAAACAGACATTTGAATATTTTTATCTGACAAATGTGTGCACCATGTATTTCTTGCTTATTTCACTACTTTTCAAAAGTTGAGTGTCTTTAAAAATGTTTTTGAAGAAAGTCTCTCATGCTCACCAAGGCTGGATTTATTTGTGAACAACAATACAGTAAAAACAGTGATATTATAAAACTTTTTTACAGTTTAAAATAACTGGTTTCTATTTTAATATGTTAAAAAAAAATTACTTATTCCTGTGATGGAAAAGCATTTTTCAGCAATTTTCACCATAATTACAGGTATGCAACAGTTTTCAATGTAACATTTATTACAGTTGTGCAGCTTAATATTTTTGTGAAACCTGAAATTAAAATATAAAAATCAAAAGAACAATTTATTTGAAAAAGTAATGTTTTGTAACATTAATAATGTATTAAAGTGGCAGTATAGACATTTATAATTAATAAATGATTACTAAGTCATATAGACCCAAAAGTTTTGAAAGGTGGTGTAAATATCACAGTGTAAGCTTAGCAACAAGCTATTGTAAAAGCAATTATGAGTCTCTCCAATGCTTTGAGTGAGAAGAGCATTCATGAGGTTCTATTTCAGTAGGTATAGCACAATAACTTTGCAGGTTTTGGAAAGGAGCCTTAAATGCCAATCAAGTCAAAATACCTGAAAGAAGCAGACAAATTCTAGAAAACTGATCTTAACAGGGAGTTTACAGTCACAATCATTTGAATAGGTATGCAAACGAAAGTTTAACAACAAGTAATTCTCCAATCCAATCCATTATTTCAGGTATTTGTTCATGCGAGATCCTGCAAATGCATGATCAAAACCTCAGAGACGCGGGTCAATAACTGCTGACCGTCTGGAAAGGCGCTCTGTCAAACCCTGGCGCCTCTGCTAGACATAATGTGCCATGGTGAGTCATAGCAAGAGAGATAATCTGTAAATAATGAATTAGCTTCAGTGCAGAACGCTGAATGTTGGTAATGTATGGCAGAAGACGGTGTCTGTGCTTATTTGGTTAACAGGGAGAATGTGCAGCAAAGCCGCTCGGAATTTTCTGTTTGTTAAATGCAGAGAATAAGAAATATGTGTGGCTGCCGGAGAACAAATAAATGGCTCTTTGAAGCAGGATGCAGGGGCTTTCCCCACAGACTCAAAGCCAGCCACCCCAAGCCTCCAGGCCTCAGAGGTCCAAACACATCCAGTTAACAGGGCCACGAAGTTCAGCGGCTCTTACCGACAGACTGTGGGATCCAGTTACTGGAGTTACAGGGGCAGGACTCGACTGCAGACTCAGCGGATACGCTTCTCAATAGACCGGCTCTCCGGTAAAGGCCCCCATGTACCGACATGAGAAGTTCTTTTTCATTCTTCGATTAAGGTTTGAAATACATTTTCAGCTGTATAGTGTCAGCGAACATCCTGATGCTGCCAAAGCTGCTGAGAGTGGTGTTTAGATGAATATGTAAAAATCAATAACAACATAAAAAAATGACAGGGGTGAGAAAACGGCAGTTAAGAAAGCATCGGATTATATTTATGTGGGATTGTTTGCGCAAGTTCTGAAATTCTGCACTCCAGTCACTAAGGGTGTAACGATACCCTCATGTCACGATTTGATACATATCACGATATTGAACTCACAATACGATATTATTGCGATATTCCACTCTCTAAAAAAATGAAGGGTTGTTTCAACCCAAATTGGAGTAAATTATGGACAAACCCAACCATTGGATTAAAAAAGTCATTAAAATTTGTAACCCAATGGTTGGGTTCATCCATAATTGACCCAAATTTGGGTTAAAACAACCCAGCACTTTTTAGAGTGCAAGATACAAAAATTGTATTGTTGATTAAAATGCTAATTTTGATATTACATTGTAGGTTTAAATGAATAGGTTTGGACTCAGTGCTTGTAACCCAAGGACAATGATGACACCAGAATGAAAATATTCATGATTCTGAAGCTGAAAATAGAGAATTATTTTAGACGAATATTCTTGCACTTTTTCTGACTAGATATATTTAATATATTTAGATATATTTCAAATAATGTTGGCCACTTTTTACTGGTTACAGAAGTCATTTGGCATTATCAGGACCCACAAATATTCCCCCATTGCATTATTATACATTATAATCAACATTACATATACTGTACTGACACTAAAACTTTTGTGAGAATTTTTTCTCACACAGTAATTTTTATTTTGGGGAACTATCCACGATACGTATTGTTGCATTTTTGTATTGCGATTTGTATTGCGATTTGTATTTGTATGGTATTTTATTGTGGCACGATATATTGTTACACCCCTTACCAGTCACAACATGTTTATTTATATATCACTTCACTCTTCCGATAAGGATTTATGGAGCACTGGAATCACTGGAAGCAGCACTGGCCAACATGATCACCGATATCAATCACCGAAATAAATTATAGGTCAACTATTCTTAACAACAATGTATTTTAAGTAGGCCTATAAAAAATAATCATGATGAGAAAGTATTAGGCTGCTGTCCCTTTAAGGGTTATTGAATGCAAAGCATGGATCCAATATGCAGATACACATGTGACATATTTCCCAACTGTTCATGTTAACCATCTTAAGACCTAACCAACAGTTTAAGCGAATATCACCAAGCAGTGTATTTTAACATATTTCCGTGTTGGTAACGGTTTAGACGGGAACCCGAAACTCAGTCTCAGAGAGCACAGCACACACAGAAAGCCGCTTGGGGAACAGTATCACTTTTGCGGCTTATTGCAATTTTAATAACTCTTTATTAATCGAGCACGTCCTGCAGTTTAGCAACAGTAGACTGTCTTATGTCAATCACTGATTTAGCTGATCGGCATTTGTAGAGAACACGATCAAACTATACAAAGCTATTATCGGCCGGTAACGATCGGCGCCCGATCAATCGGAGCACCCTTATTCTCACTCTGATAGTGTCCTCATTTTACCGTCATACTTCACTATTCTCGCTCATGGCTATCAGTCCATTGTTTCCCGTTGACCTCATTGTCTTGACAGACTGTAGCCAGGTCCAAATAGCTTCTTCCCGAACCTATCATCCTCCTGCATCTCTCCTTTCCTACCCTCCCAGCACAGATCATTTACCACCAGCAAGGTGACATCATTGCACTATTTCTGGGATCTGTGACAAACTGTGGACCTGCTCCACCACAATTATGTCATCGAACGGCGCTGGGTTACGGATATGGGCTGAAGCTGAATGGGCATAATCACTCATTCACTCGTTCCGTGCTCCTCGCTGAGCCTGGGGACCGTAAGACACACCGAGTCATGGCTGAAGAGCATCACAGAGACCTGAGCAGGCTGAAGAGCTTCCTCTTACTCAATGCGTTACCACAATGCTGGTGTTACAAGGAAATTAGTGAATTCCCACCATAACCTCTGATTCATGACGCATGTCAGAAGCCACAACTGTCACTCATTTCACTCATCAGGAATACTTTCATAGCCAGAAAAATGTTGAAGAAGTTGCTAGATCAAGTCATTTAGACAGACTGGCAGCACCTAAGCAAGGATGTTTTTAGTAAATAATAGATATTCATACCACACATTCCATTTTAACCAAGGAATACAAGATGCAGAACTATGCCTTGCGTGCTTAAATTAAGCCATTGACGTTATTTTCGGCACATATACGTATATGTAAACAAGTAGCATTTAAAAGAAAATTAGGTCAACAGGAAACAAAATATCTTAACCAGTTGTTTTGTGATAAATTAAGGAATATTCATATTGGCAAAATAACCCAAAAATATTCACTCTTACATAAAATAAATGTTCCAACATGCCTAATTTGAAGACATAGAATATGTTTTTTTGAATTGACAAATATGAATCTTCCTGTTATGTCTCCTGTAAATAAATCTGCATATAAATGATACTTTTATTTTGAACAGTTTTTTGTGATAAATTAAGGAATATTCATATTGGCAAAATTACCCCCCAAAAACATTCACTCTTACATAAAATAAATGTTCCAGCCTGCCTAATTTGAAGACATAGAATATGTTTTTTTGAATTTACAAACATGAATCTTCCTGTTATATCTCCCGTCAATAAATCTGCATATAAATGATACTTTTATTTTGAACAGTTTTTTTGTGATAAATGTAAAAAATAATTGATACGCATTTTCTAATACATATCATTTGAAAATTTCTCCATGTTAACTGGTCTAAGGCATTAAAATAGCATAATTTGGACATTGTCAGTAGTAATGAATGAAAACCAGGCATTTCTCTTTAGTGGTGTAATGAAGTGCACTTTTAGAGCAATGTTCACTAAAGTAGGCCAGATAGCTGCCACAATCTATCGCTCAGAATTGGCCTTCAAGCTAAGAAAGATGTGTAAAATGCATTCGGCATTTTGTGAACATTTGGACTTTACCCCATTTGCATAATTCCTCAGGAGCGTTAAAATGAATGCTAAGGAACTCTCTGTGAACTCCCCTGTCATTGTCTTACAGCATGACATTTTACATTTAAGGAAGTGGCGTCTGTTTTAAACAGGTCCCTCCCTTTGAAAAGCACTTGCCTTTGTAAGGATGCACCATTCCCTCCATCATGTGCACACTGTTGTCAGGCTGGAGCTGCATTGAAACATCGCCCACGGCTCCCACGAGTTCGGCAAAAAAATCCGCCACCTCTCCGCAGTCCTCCAGAAGCACATAACGATCCTGACGATTGGTGAAGTAGGAGTCGCTCAGATTGGCCCTGTATGAGATGATATACTCAGAGTGGGCAACAAACATACCCTCCTCCATTGAGCTCCATACAGTCTACAAACAAACCCGGAACCATGAAGAGCAAAAGCTGTGGGAATATTTTGCCAGAGAGAAATGTCGGTATTTACATCGTCACTCAGACATAACAGATGACATGTGTACATGTGTAGTATCCACTTTAGCAGTGATATATCATGTGTACACACCCACTGATGATGAGACTGTTGTCAAAAAGGTATGCCTTGATGTGCTGCACCCCGATGGTTTCGTTGAAGCGTTCGGGCACCAGAAGACGCAACAGTCCCCGCAGGTCTGGTGTGTGGTACAGGGACACTCTCATCTGATCGGGGAAACGCTGGAGCAGCGGCAGTAACATTGTGCGGGAATTGTGCTTACCTGTAGATGCAAAAACAATAAACAGGGGAAATTATAATGAATCAGTACATACATAAAAGTAATCTACATTAAAGGGACATACACTGAAAACTACAGATACCAATACATGTCACCTGCTTTCTTATTTGAACTTTTGTCATTAAAATAGATTGCTGTTTTGATATTGTATTAAATGAGCAATGTTTAAAAATGTATGCATTAAGGTATACTTAGTTAATTTTTACTTAACATTGATTGGGTCCATTTAACATACAACAGGCCAACATATAAATACATAAACAAATACAAAAGAACAAAGATGCATTTGAAATAAACAGTGCTTTTCAGGTAGGTGGAGCCTGCTTTGGATGTGTGCATAAACAAAACTTCTGAAACAGCGAGTAGAAGTGAGCTCTCTATCCCTCCTTTTTGCTCTTGAATACTTAAATTCACAAGATTTAAAAACATGCGCAAAAGGGTAAATATTTGTGAAGATGCAGCAATCGCCCGATCGGGACAGTCACAGTTCCATCAATTGGCCCGAGCGTTGTTCACGCTGGGCCAAGGCAGTCTGTATTGTCGAGCCCTGCTGTATTTTGTACCGATTTAATTTTATTTTAACAAGCTAACAAGCTAGCTTTTATGCGTAGGCTAACGCATCACATACATGACCAGCGTCAGCTAATGTAAGCCTAAATGAGCCTTCGTGGTGACGTACAATTTAGAAAGTCTGCGCTGTTACACTACGTGAACTCACTCAGGCCCACGCAGAAGAAAATCAATAGTTGAATAAAGTTGTAATTTTGGTTCGTTTTTTGCGCACAAAAAGTATTATTGATTGCTTGATAAACTTATGGTTGGGCCACAGTAGTCACTTGGTCTATTTTTTATTTATTTTAAGGATGTCTTTATTACATTTTCTGGGCTGACAAGTTTCAATCCCTAGAAGCCTATGGAGGAGTGATCCAGCTCTCAGATTTCATCAAAAATATCTTTGTGCTCTGAAGATGAACGAAGGTCTTACGGGGTTGGAACAACATGAGGGTGAGTAATTACATTTTTGGGTGAACTATCCCTTTAAATAGACAGGGAAATTAATCAACTAGGTGAATGACACTTGCAACGACTCAAACAATCAATGAAAAACCATGGAAACTAACTTAAAACAAGGAAACAACTAAAATAAAAACAGATAACCTGTTACACAAGTCAGTTGATTCCAAGTCCTTCACTAGCACATATACCGAACTGTGATGCCAAAGACCATACAAAATTACAAAATATTCTTTTGAACATTCTAATCTCCTTCTATGATCGTTTGATTATGATTACAAAAAAAAATATTAAGCAGCACAACTTTTTTCAATATTTGTAAAAAGAAAAAAAAAATCCTTGACAACTTGGAGCACTCCTATTGGTAGTCGTCACATTGCATCATAGCCCATTTGCATAGAAGCATGGCAGTATATCATACGAATTGCCAACGGTTGCTGTCGTTCACACCATAAATTCCCAACTCACATAAAAATAAAGATGAATAACTCTCAGAGAGTGAATGCCCTGTATATTCTCATAATAAGAGCCATTTTCATGAGATCAAGTAGAATCTAAACCATACAATGAAGGTAAATCCTGCCATATGATGCCTCAGTTACCATGATATATTCAGTTACTAATTAATACAATATCATTGGGTTAGTTCAACAGCACATTGAAAGCAGTCAGTGGAATGACTAACCGTTCCTTTTAAGTTGTTTGTGAGGTAAAAGAAAAGAAAAAAAAACAGGGTGGAGGTCTGAACATGCAACCAACAATTACATTACTGAAGCTGGAAACCTTCCAAAATTACACCCACACTATTATATTAGAATAGACATGGTGCACGCACACATGTTAGTCAGTGTTCACATAGGGAAACGAACATTATCAGGGGGTTTCTGTATGCACTATTTCCTGATAGTTTCATAGGAATGTGATAAAAAAAAACTCAAGCTATGACTTTTAAAAGGAAATAAAAGAACAATATAGAGGGAAGTTCACAAATGAGTGAGAAGCTTTGTTCACAGTGCAGGAATTCTCATCTGACTTTGAAATCCGATGTTGAAAACATATCCACATGTTCAGTGTTGTCAATATACAGTAATGACTTTATAGCAAATAGACATGTCAGATACATTACTGTATTTTACACAATCATACATATGATGTGCCTGAAATTACTCAATCTTTCAAAATTCATTACAACGTGATTTAAAATGAATGAACTGAATACCGCATAATTTGATTTAGATCATATTGGATCACATGTTTTTGCTGTTCAGACTACAACAACTCCAAGGATTTAGGTTGGATATGCCAGTTCCTGTCTGACCGAACAAAGCCTGAGAGTGTGTGTGTGAGACAGCAGCCCTTTTCACATACAGGCTTTCCTGGTAAATTACCGTTAAAGGGTTAGTTCACCCAAAAATGAAAATGATGTCATTAATGACTCACACTCATGTCGTCTCAAGCCCGTAAGACCTCCGTTCATCTTCGGAACACAGTTTAAGATATTTTAGATTTAGTCCGAGAGTTTTCTGTCCCTCCATTGAAAATGTATGAACGGTATACTGTCCTTGTCCAGAAAGGAAATAAAGACATTATCAAAGTAGCCCATGTGGCATCAGTGGGTTAGTTACAATGTTTTGAAGCATCGAAAATACATTTCGGTCCAAAAATAACAAAAACTAAGATTTTATTCAGCATTGTATTGTCTTCCGGTTCTGTTGTCGAGCCGCGTTCAAGAGTCCACAGTGACGCTGCTGACGTGTTACCTGGTATGTCCGTGTATTCGAGTTCAAATAAATATGGCTGGACAAAGAAAAAAATCACTTTGATGATGTCTTTATTTCCTTTCTGGACAAGGACAGTATACCGTACATACATTTTCAATGGAGGGACAGAAAACTCTCTGACTAAATCTAAAATATCTTAAACTGTGTTCCGAAGATGAACGAGGTCTTATGGGCTTGTGACGACATGAGGGTGAGTCATTAATGATATAATTTTCATTTGTGGGTGAACTAACCCTTTAAGAAATCATGTGTGAACAGGACCTTTTCAAAATTACCAGTAAATGGGTTCTGGCAATTTACCAGCATGAGAAATTGTAACATTACCATTAAATTACCAGCATGATGGTGTGTGAACAAAGAATGAAGATTACCGGTATGAGCATGTCTGAGCTAATAATACGTTTGATTTGGGCCAATCATAAGGCTCCGTTGGATCGGTTTACGTTAAGTTCTGCTGTTCTTAACATGCAGATGTCTGAGCATTGCAATGCTTCTCGCTGCTTCTTGTTTTCCATTCATCGGCACTGCAGCTCTGCAGTTATTGCGTACTATAGTAACTGAAATACTATAGTAAATATGGGTCTCATGTTTTTAAGAGCTTAAAGGACAACTCCGGCGCAAAATGAACCTTTGGTCTAATTACACATTGTTACCTAGTCAACCGTTATCTGAGATTTTTTTTCATGATTGCCGAATGTAAATAGTTTTATCTATAAAAACAGTTTAGCCTATAATGCTAGTATAACGCTAGTATATAGGGCATAGAGTAATGACAAATAAAAATCGCTTTTTATTACCACTAACAAGGCTCAAAATAGCCCCACAGTAACACGGTAGCACAATAAGGATCCATACATTCAAACCGAAGCATTGAGAACTTTGTCAGTGTCCATACCGTTTAATAAGAAGATATTTTATACACACAGTCAACTTTGCGAATACAGGAAGAAGCCATCTTTGAAAAATAGTCTCTACCAGTCGATCTACGAACGCCGATCCAAGCGCGCTGGTGAGATGTGAATAAAGTGATAATGTGAGCGCGAACAGTAGGCAACATGTACATATTAAAGAGAAGAAAATGGTTCGTGTTTGTGTTTCTTCCGGAAACAATGGACCATATAAGATTCTGCACAGTTCAGCGCACTTGGATCAGCGTTCGTAGATCGACTGGTAGAGACTATATTTTAAAGATGGCTTCTTCCTGTATTCGTGAAGTTGACTGTGTGTATAAAATATCTTCTTATTAAACTGTATGGACACTGACAAAGTTCTCAATGCTTCGTTTTGCATGTAGGGATCCTTATTGTGCTACCGTGTTACTGTGGGGCTATTTTGAGCCTTGTTAGTGGTAATAAAAATCGATTTTTATTTGTCATTACTCTATGCCCTATAGACTAGCGTTATACTAGCATTATAGGCTAAACTGTTTTAATAGATAAAACTATTTACATTCGGCAATCATGAAAAAAAATCTCAGATAACGGTTGAATAGGTAACAATGTGCAATTAGACCAAAGGTTCATTTTGCGCCGGAGTTGTCCTTTAACCGTCACTTGTCAGATAGATATAACATGCACCGAGTCGAAGTGCTCCCAATCACTCGCTGTGGTATTGCTGTGGTAATTTTTACAGTAATTGAAAAGGATTGTGTGAAAGAGACAGAAACAGACCTCTTGAGCCTCTGGTATAATCCAGCAGAAAAGACACTTTGAGATCAGGTGCATGATCTTCCTGTGAGCGCTCTAATGCCTCTTCCATGCAATCAACCTTCAAAAAAAATTAGACAGTCACTGAAAGAAGCCTCTAATTATTAAATCCATGTTAGAGTTTAACCATACACTAGGGTTAAGCAATATTTCCAGGTTATGTTTTTCTGCAGCAGGAACGTTACGGCTTGGCTGGTTTTGCATGTTGATTAGAACAAGGAAATGTTACCTTACTGTACAGTGAGATAGTGGTTAAATTACATTTTTATACTAAGATTTAACACCAGATCAAATTCTCTTCAGAGTTTTCAGATTTTCACAAAATGTTTGCAGATTTGGTTCTGACATGAGCTACTGTTCATACATGATCTTTTTGCTTAACAAATGAGTTACTCTTAAACTTACAGGGTTAAAACAGAGGGCGATAAATGCCAAACATTACTTCCTCTTATGTAATATTGTCAATGAGAAACTGCAGACTCTTTCTCAGTGACAGTAAATGTATGCAGACAGGTTACATACCAGGTCTTGCTCTAGTGGTCCTGTACCCAGGTACAGTGATGCCATCACCACACGACTCTTGGCTGTCTTAATGCGAGCCTAGGCAAACAGAACAACAAACTTAATGAGACTTTGAGTTAAAGCTTTTTTTTATAAGCTATTCGCCTTGTTTTTAACATATGAGCAGGCTTGGCCATTGTAACTTCATTGTGTCAAGGCTTCCGCTCTCAACCGCTTCTAGTTATTTTGGCTTTACAAAAATATCCGCTATGCTGCTTAAATTTGCAAACTGTTACTTCTCACATTACTTTAATTTAGTATCGTAATCAAAAACACTCGTTTATAGCCCAATTTTTTTTAACCATTTACATCATTTTGTTATTCTTCCTGTTATTTAGGCTACTTGTAGCGGTAACTGAATCTGATCTGAATAAAGCTTACTTCTGCATTAAAAAAAATAAGATTAATTCCATTTTTAATCTTATATTTATTTATTTTTAGAGCCGTATGAGTATCATTAATGATTTTATGGCAATATAAATTTTCTTTAACATGAACAATTTAAAAAAAAAGTTACAATATTACAATTAAAACTATACACAAACATTCATCATTCTAATGTTTAAAACAAATTAAAAACTAATAGAGACACATTATGATGTTTAGAATGGATATTTGGCACAGATCCACCTGTTTTGTAATATAAAACATCTTCTCGTAAGTATCATCTACACTATATTTTATAATGTTATGATATAAGCATGACTATAAACAGAAAAGCACTAATTGGAGTGATAATATCGGTTGGTCATAAAACAAAGCCAAAGTCAAGTCACCTTTATTTATATAGCCCTTTATACAATAAAGAATATATTTAAAAAAAAAAAACTTTGTCGTTATAATATATAACAGGAAAATAATAATTCAGTGATGCAAACAGAATTTAATTCGCTGTAAAGCAGCTCTTGTGTAATTGTTTAGCGAAGGTCAGTTCAAATGATTTCTTTTTACAACCTTACTGTCCTATTTACTGACTATATGGTTCTCTAAAGGTGCAATTGTATGGCTTTGAACCAGCACACAAACACACATACCTTCATAGCTTGATAAAATTCATCAGGTGAGTGAAGGATGTGTATGTGGCCCCCAGGGACCCTGAAAGCAGGTACATGATCAGCCATCCAGTGGAAGCGAGAGTGAAGGCCATCGGCACCAGAGAAGCCTGGAGGTCTGGAGGAGGCCAGGGGGGCTGAGTCCGCCTCAGCCAGGAGAGGGGACAAGAGCAGCACAGCGGACCTACAGGATGACAGGAAGTACGACAGAAATAAGGGGCAGAGAAACCCTTTAATCAGAATCCAAGAGCGAGGCTGGCAGAACTCTTCAACTGTACACAATGCACTGCGGTTTCAGTTTACACTATTAGTAAATTTTGTATAATCTGGTGGCTGAACAGTAATACTAAACTCCATTCTTAGTTTTTGTTTCCTGTTGGCTCCCAAATAACCTTTTCCAGTAAAATTGTGCAAATAAACACACTACTGTTCGAAGGTTTTGGGTCAGTAAAACTTTTTTAATGTTTTTGAAAGAAGTCTCTAAATGCTCACAAAGGCTGCATTTATTTGACCAAATCTACTTTAAAAAAGGCAATATTGTCTAATATTATTTCAATTCAAAATACCTTTTAAAATGTAATTTGTTCCTGCAAAGGGAAAGCTGAATTTTCAGCATCATTACTCCAGTCTTCACTGTCACATTATCCTTGAGAAATCATTCTAATATGCTGATTTGGTGCTCAAGAAACATTTCTTATTGTCAATGTTGAAAACAGTTATGCTGCTTAATATTAAAAAAAAAATAGATAGATAATAGGAAGTTTAAAAAAATTAAGGTGACATTATAAATTTCACTTTTGACATCTATTTTTGCCAATTAAAAAACAAATGTTATTTTTAGTACTTTATTTGCTTAGCTGTTTTTTTTTTTTTTTTTTTTTTTTTTTTTGCTAAGGACAGCTGTTTATTTGGACCAAAAAATAATATTTTATAATGAAACTTTTTGTGATTTTAAATATTGGTAAAAAAAAATTGTTGTGCCCTGGTCGCATCTGGCAAAACAGTGAATAAATCTGCAATAATAAATAACAAAAAAAGTTTCAATATTTCATAAGAATGCAGTTACAGATATGCCTCTGCAATATGGACAATTTTGTGCAATATCTTTTGTTATTTTAAATACAATAATTAAACCAACAGCTCTCCTTTTCTCAAAAATTGATTTAAAACTACTCAGTCAGGAGAGAGCCCTAAATCCAGCTCCAAATGCAACAGTGTTCAGAAGACACAAAGGCAGTAATATGGTCTGTATGACACAGCATGAAGTCTCAAACTGCAACCCTTTACTCAGATCTACTGCCAAACACCAAGGTCACGTTGAGTTCTCTACGACCCAGACGGTGCTTTTCCTCACAGAACCCAGAGTCTGACCGCACATTACAGTAGATCTCACATAACTCCCCAGAAAACAAAAAGAAAAGAGGCGCCTTTGAGAGCACCGTGACCCTGTGGAGACTGAGTGTAAAACAATGTGAAGGTCCATTGTGAGTGTCAGATTATGAATCTATACAAACTAACTATCTGTGTTTCTCATATGCATCAAGCCTGATTCAAAAACATGACCTGTGTACAAAAACCCTCATAGATCTGCACTGACAAGTGAAGATATTCAGGAAAAGGCCTCTAATTCTATCAGGCTGAAAGTGATTTGATTAAAGTGACCTTTACAGAAGAATGCAAGCAGTAAATGGCTGCTTTGTAAACAGTGTTTTCTAGAATGAACCTCTTTCATTGCAATGCAAGTCACATGACACAAGTTCAACAAGAATATCTGATCAACAAACCTTCACCTTGGACTACATGGTTCTGACAGAAAAAGAAGATGAACAAGTGTCCATATTTACATTCAAAGAATATAAGTTAGTGAAAATTAAAAAAAAAATGTGACAGACATGCCTTATAACAGATAACATAACATCTCTGTAATAACAAACCCTGATCCTTGTTTTATTTGGTGAGAGGGAAACTATCATCACACTAACCCCAGTTTGCAGTTAGACAGCTTAATAAAGGATTATGAAACCAAATATGTCAAGGAGTAATCATTCACTTCAATAGGATTTTTAGGGAGAACTATACCTTTAAAAATGACATGTCACTAGACATAATGATAGTTACTGGAAATACGCTAATGGACAATAGCGGAGCTAAATCAGCAACCATTGTTTATTGTTATGATGTTTACAACTTATATTCTCAAAGTCTCTTGATAACAGTAGTCAACACATGATGTAAGATCTCTCCATTATACAACCACAAGCTAACATTAGCCAAGCACGCGATTTAACATTACGCGATTTCTATCGTTTATCTTTATGTAACGATAGTGCATAATGCGATGGCTATCATTTACCCTCTCCTCCGATCGTATGTCCTGAAAAATCGGTCTGTTATCCTCGTGAAAACCCAGGAGAATGCAGGAGTATGCGAAGAGAACACAAGTCTTTTCCATCTCATGGGCGCCGCCATGTTTTCACAGGACTTTGAATGTCAAAACTTTATCGAAACTCGCTCGTAAAACGAGAGGACTTCTAGCCGTATCTTCTAGCCAAGCGTATTCTAGCTGGTCTCTCGGTCTTTCTATAATTTTGTGAATTTTACCACACATTTGATGTGTTGGGGAATTTTTTGCTAACTTAATCTCTGTCACTGTCATAATATTGTTACTTGCACCATTATTGTTTAAATCAAATCTTAATATTATCATAATACATTAAATAATACAATAAAGTAATTTAAATAATAAATCATATTTAAATACATATGCATTTATGTTTTGATGCGAACTGTATTTAATTGGCTCTGTAAATGACAATAAAGTTTTTTTTCTTTATTGACAATAAACAATAAAGTTTAATCTGGTCTAAAAAGCTCATGTGATTTTAAATGTATAGTTCACGGCATGTACAATAAGTTCTTGATTCACGTGGTTCATAAATAGCCGAAGCTTCTGATCAATGACTTATTCACAAACATCCCTAATATTCATTGATGTCCTTTGCTTTGGAGGGAGGTCTACTGCTGCCATCCTATAGATGGCGTGTGGAACAAACCCAGTAAAGGGGCAGTGTGTAGAATACATCGTGAGTCTATCAAGTTGGCTATCTTTTGAATACTATACTGTAGGCTATACTATCATACCATAGGCTACTACACTACTTTCACTATACCTACTCCTTCAGGTATCACGGATTGCAGTGAACACACAGTTTACTCACTACTCTGCTCCCATGTTTGTGCACTAACTTGGTTGGGTTAAATGCACAGAGGACAAATTCTGAGAGTATAGGTGACCATACTTGGCCTTCACATGTCACATGTTTACTTAACGTTTCCTATAGCCCTGTATTCTATTTCAAATCGCCCTATGTCAACATAAATCCTGATGATATGCAAAATTATTCTGTATAAAATATACCAATAAAACATAATAATATGCAACACGTGTGTGGTCAGATATTAGTCATAATAACACACCGACCGCATTTATATCTGCAAGGGCAATGCAACTTTTCACCTTGTGTGCACAGGGAAGGGAGGTGGAGAAATCCCGTAAAAAAGGGTCACGCTGATTATTTATTGGCAATCCGCCACGTGCGCGTGTGTGTGTGTGTGTGGTTGCTTTACTGGAAGAGGGGGTGGAGCTCTTTGGAAATATCAGTCGGTACTTCAACTCGATGGCACAAACAGGACACCTCCACTACCTCTCATAGACTTTTACACAGCTGATCTCCGATCAACTGTTAAAAAACTGACATGAAACTGATCTTTATCCCTTTAAAAGAAGGTCTATTTTGCATAAGTGGTTATATGGAAATCATAAAAGGAGCTATGTTTTAAGAAACCTCCAAGATTGATTCGGATAACACTTTGAAGGTAAAACAACGTTTTATTGTAATGTACTAAAATTCTTAATATATTATAAATGCATGCATATATTATATCGGCTTATTATGCATGCAGGCTATCCCTGTAAAAAATAAATAAAAAAAATGAATTGTTGGTCTTTGTAATGCGAGCTAACGCATAACGTTATCCTAATAGTTTGAATTCTAATGAGTTATATATGCATGTGGACAGTGGGCTAGTAACGGTGAACGGTGAGTCGGTGAATTTATATTCCAATTAGGATAAGAGAGTGAAGGGGTATTTACTATGTAACACGAGACAGAGACCGTGTGTCATGAATGAGGAATTGGGTTATTCACAACGAACTGGAGGACCTCATTCATAACCTGTTTTCCAGAAGTCCAAGAGAGCGATCGAAGTCGATATCGGATTTACACGGTCGAGCTCGGGCTAAAAATAAGGCTTCGATTAGCAACTCGTTAATTTATCGATGTATTTATCCATTTGCTAGCTGTTTTAACATTTGCGCTTCGAAATTATCTGTTATGTTCCAACAAGTAAGTTACTCATTTTCATCTAGTGACTAGTCAAACTGGTCACTATTGGATTTTTTTAAACTAGTAACATGAGTACTAGTAAAAGTAGAATAGCTTTCAGGAATAATACTAGTGGAAAGTGAATGGTTGATGTTTAAACAGAGATCTCTATATAATTTAAAAACTTGAATAATTTGTAACCGGTATAATTGGCTACCAATAGTACTAGTAACAGTATTAGAAAAAAAAGGGATAAATACCAGCATACAACATTGCCATACTATTCAGATGTAAATAATTGATCTAAACAGATTCCCATATAATTCAGTAACAAAAATATCAATTTGTTACTAGTAGGGATGGTGGATAGTAGCAATAGTACTAGTAAAATTGAAATAGGTACCAGCAACATTTGGCATACATGCTAGTCAAAAGAGAATAGTTGATCTACAATACAGAAAGTTCAGTAAACCAATAAGTTGATATCAGGAGTATTTAGGTCTTGGAACAAAGAGAATTGACAAAATACTAGTCATTACCAATATTATACTAAATAAAAAGTTGAAATAAATGTTTAAACAGCCATACAGTAATTTATCCTCAACCAGGACAATTACATCATTGAAATGCTTAATGTGTGAATGTGATGTTTTTTTGGAGCGGGAGGGTTGGGCTTTAATGATAAGGAACACATGTGAGAAACATCCAATCCAGTTTTAAGAACCATGAATGGCCCTAATAAAGCTGATGTCATAGCAGATGTAAGTCTGCTGGCACGGGCTTCTGTTGTTCTCACTGTTTGGTTGATTCTGACATTTTCCATTTGGCTTTTCCCTACAGCTTCCTTCCATACCCACCGAGACGACATTTCTTCTGGATGTGGAAGAGGTGCCAGAGCTTTGGGAGTTGTGTTGGTGCTCTCCGGTGCATGAGCACCCTGGCTGGGACGGCCCTTCGGCCCTGGACCCCGAGCACCAGTGGTTGCCGGTGGTACAGGGGGCGGGCAGAGCGCCATGGTAACGCACAGTAGGTTTGACAGCGCCATGAGCAGCAGCCCCTTTGAAGGCGGCGTGCCCCTGCCCCCCCACCGGTACAAGACCTTCAGTTCTCGGCGCAGTATCAGATGGTGCTCGCGGCTGTGCGCAAACTGCAAGAGAGCGGCTTCTACTGGAGCACCGTGAGCGGGAAAGAGGCCAGCGCTCTGCTGAGCGCCGAGCCCTCGGGGACCTTCTTGGTGCGCGACAGCTCGGACCACCACCATTTCTTCACGCTCAGCGTCAAAACGACAACGGGCACCAAAAACCTGCGCATCCAGTGTGATTCCTGCTCCTTCTTCCTGCAGACCGACCCCCGGAGCGAGCAGGCCGTGCCGCGCTTCGATTGCGTCCTCAAACTCATCCATCATTACATGCCCTCGGCAGGGATGGGGACCTCGACCAAGGTCCAAGCTGTTGGAGGCAGCGGAAGCGCTGCAGACGGAAGTGCGTACTTCATTTACTCCGGTGGCGAGAAGATCCCCCTGGAGCTACTGCGTCCACTGGCGTCCAGCATGTCTAGTCTGCAGCACCTGTGTCGAAAGACTTTAAACGGTCACATAGACGTGTCCACCAAACGGGACCAGCTGCCTCATCCACTCCAAGAGTTCCTCCAGGACTACGACGCTCCAATCTAGCTATTCCTGATGGGTTTTACAGTATATGTGAAGGGCAGAAGATTAAGGTGCACAAGTAGAGATTATCCACTCCAGACCTCGGCGTCTGTCAGCATTGCAGGCCAGCTGTGCCTTCTTCGACCTCTGGATTGTGAACTTTTGAAGGACAGCACGAGATGCGGATCTGACATCTCAGCGGCTGTTGACACGGACGGACTTCCGCGTTCCAGCGGCCAGTCTCAAATAGGGACTGCTGAAGATAAACACAAGTGATAGTTGATCAGTAGAGGAGTTAAGTGTGCTGCTATGGCTACAGTCCAGCTCCTCATCATCGATCGGGAGACGTCCGTTTTCTTTAGCTCGACATTTTTTGACTTTCTCCTGGAAGGAAGGAACGAGAGCTGGGTGTTTGCAATGACGTACACATTTCCACTGCTTCTTGCCAAGTGTAATTGCCTCACAAGCGGGCGTGGGGGCGCAAACGGGGTGGCTACTTACCGCTCACGACCGACACTGCCGTGTCTGCTCTGGTGACCGTGCGCGGGGTCAAGAAAAAGGACTGGTGTGAACGTATATCGACCCGACGAGAGGCCCGTTACTGCGGGCCTAAGCCTTCTCTGGAGAAGACGGCCCCTCAGTGGACTGTTGTTACTTAGTTCATGACAGGAGCCAAAGCAAACCTTAGTTTCATTTGTGCTAGGAAAAAGCAGACTGAACATTGTTGATGATTCAATATGAGCAAATTGACATTTATATACTGTGAAGCAAATACAAGCACAGTATCAGAAACCTTTATTAACTGATCTACTGTGGTGTTTGACATGAAGGACCATGCTTCTCTGATCCCTCAGAGAAGCATTCGTACTTTGTGCGCTTCAAAATCCTCATTCAATAACAACGGCACAGTGTTTGTTTCATTGGCAGGACTTGACGTCTGCTATTCACTGAATGTATTATGAGTCTATGGAAGGGCTTTATGGTTCCACTTGTAGATTGTTTTTATTTCACTTTTGTTGTTGTTGTTTGTTCATATTTTGTCAAATCAAGGTGTTTACATGTGTGCCACCAACAGGACAGCATGTTTTTTTTACTCTGTCTTTTATATAAAGATGTCTCATCTTAAGGTCTGGTCTGATGACCGCAGTGCAAGCTTGAAGATCAGAAAACAAAAGGCATTAACATAGAAAATGCAGCAAGAATCTTTGCACATATTTATATTTATAAGATATTTCCATAATTTATATTAAAGAGCACTATTTTTACAAAATGGATCTTCCTGCGTGACTCGCATTCTTGTTTAAAATGCAATGTTGATTCTGCATGTTATTTAAATATGCATGATTTTTTTAAGTGGCATTTGCTGTAGAAAACATTTTCCTCCAGCTTTATATATATATATATATATATATATATATGCACACACATACACACACACACACACACACACACACAAATGAAGATACCACAACTGCTCTTTTTCAGAAAAACAGGTCTGAGGCTTACCTTGAGGTATGGGTACAGGATGTCACAAAGTGCTTTCTCTTCTGATCAAAGTTACAACATCTATCTCCCTCTTTTATTAATCCTATAGTCACTTTTCATTCCTTACTGGAAAAATCCCTTTA